AGGCATTGTCCTGATGGAGAGCAATCTGGTTATCTCTATCAAAATTATAACTCCATCCATAGACACATGCACACACCAGTGGTCAGGCTGTGCACACAGGTGTTCAAGGCAACACTGTTTGTAAAATGAAAACCTGGGACACCAACCAAACACCCAGCCACTGGTTGGAAAGAGTCTCCTTTGTCCACACAATGGAGGACAGTGCTACTATAAGCAAGACTGTGGATGCTCTATGCTTGACAAGGGAAGAGCTGCCAGAAATACTGTGAAGTGAAAAGAGCAAGGTGCGGTACAGGGTACAGAGGCGGCTAATTTTTGTGTATGGGGGGAACAAGGGGTGCCAGCCCAAAGGAAAGCAGAGACTACAGGTGGATGGGTGAAGGGACAGAAGGAGAGAAGGATAGATGGATGCAAAAAAGGACAGAGAAAGAAGGAGACAGACAACACCTTGATGCTATTTTCGAGGCCCTGAATCCAGTCATGCCTAAAGCCCCACCCCTCTTAGAATTATCTAACTACAACAGCCAATCAATTCTTCTTTTTCTTACAGCCAAGTTGAGTCAGGTTTCTGCTACTCGCCATTCCTGGGGGTCGGAAAGGTCAAGAAACCTGCTGAGAAATCCAGCATCTAAATGGGAGGTTGGTCCTGGTATAAAGATGGAATAGCATACAGGAAGCAGTCCTTTGGGCAGGGCTGGGGCATGGCAAGGGGGTGAGAAGGGTTAAGACTCACAAACTTTTCCCATTTGGATTCCACCTACGACACCATCTTGAGGTCAACGGGGTCATAGGGTGACACTCTCAGATCCTGCAGCAGGGTTTCCAGATTGTTCCTCAGCATGCTGTAGGGTGGCTTCTCATCATACTTGAGGGCCATCACCACCTTCAGGTACTCCTGCAGGGTCTCTGTGGTCAAGACACCCCCCCAGCCCAGGAGAGGCCTGAGAGGTGCCCCCCCAAACCCAGAGCCTGGGGGGCTGCACCCAGAGGCAGCTGGGCGGGGGGCACCATGGGGCACGAGGGTATCAACAACAGTGCCCGTTTCCTTAGTGCTTCCTCTGTGCCTGGCACTGTCACAGGCACCTAAATTTTTTTTTCTCAATTTTTTGAAAATGTCAAACATAGGCATCAGTAGAACGGTATCATGAACACCTGAGAACTTATCACCCAGTTTCAACAATTATCACCTCGCAGCCAATCTGGTTTCATCAAAACCCCTACCACTTTCCTGTGCTATACTGATGTACAGCAAATCCCAGCTAACAATGTCATTTTACCTGTGTATGAATATTTATTGTGCATCTCTAAAACAGGAACCAGCAAACTTCTACTGGAAAGTGCCAGATAGTAAATATTTTCAGCTTTGTGGACCAGGTGCCTGTGTTGCAAGGACTCAACTTGGCTGCCATCACACAAAAGCGGCCACAGACCACTCATAAATGAAGGGGCGTGGTTGTGTGCCGGTGCGACTATTTATGAATGCTTCAGCTTGAATTTCAGGTTAAGTCTCATGTGCCATGAAATGTTCTTCTTTTGCATGTTTTCCAATTGTTTAAAAATGTAAAACAATTGTTAATTCACTGGCATTAGAAAAACAGGTGGGCCAGCCCAAGTGACATAATTTACTGACACCTACATTAAAAGATAAAGGTTCTCTCTTTTTCCCTCTAAATAAGCATAATACCATTATCACACTTTTAAAAAGTGCCAATTATGATGCCTATAACAACAGTCATAATAGCCCCTACTGGGGGAATGTTTACTGCCGGCCAAAGTCTGCACCAAGCATGTTTAATTAGCGGCCACAGCAGAAATGAGCACTTGTCTGGGCCCAGCTTTGCGCAGAGGGTTCTGCATTGAACTGTCAGAACAATGCTGGAGGTGGGGGCCACTACTGGCCCCATTTTACACATGGTGAAGCTGAGGCTCAGAGGGGGTACATTTACTCCCTGCAGCTCCCTGGGCTGGTACATGTAACTCTGACTGCACTACCCAAGGAAGCTGTGACTTCCTCACTCAAGAGGGCCAGCCCTGCCCCACCTCTACCTCTTGGTGGATCAGCTTAAAATCTCCGAGCTGCAATGAACCCACATGGGGATCATCCTTTACAGAGGGAAAACTGGAGGGGAGTGTGATTTGAGCAGCTAAGTCACAATTTGAACCCAGGGATTTCAAATGATTAAAAAATGAGCTCTTACAGAGCCAGAGAGGACAAACTATCCATTTCTGTTTCTGCTTCCAGCTTAGAGAGTAAAATAGAAGCTCTTCAGAAGCTCTGCAAACAACAAAAACAAATACTCCTCCTCTCCCCCAAACAAAACAAAAACAGCCTAAATGTCCAATAATGGGGATTGGCTTTACAAATTATGGTTTAGTCAAACCATGAATATTGTGCAGCTGTCACAAAAAGCCACGGTGGCTCTATGAATAAGGACAGAAAAAGCATATGTTGAACAGGATGTATGCAGGGTAAGCCCATTTTTGTTCATAAAAACAAAAATCATTTTATAAAAAACAACAGTTTTGTAAAACAAAACTATGTGTGCATATGCTTATTTATCTATGTTTGTTATATATGTAGAAAAAGAACTGCCAGCAGATTATAGAGACTGTGGAGATGATAGCTCCTCCTAATCCTGTATAAATGACCCTTTACAATGTGAACTTGCTGCTTTTCCCATCATAAGGTGGAGTCTATCTCCCTACCTCTTGATCTGGGATGGCCTTGTCACCTGTTTTGATACACGGAATGTGGCAAAGGTGATGTCCTGGGGCTCCATGCTCTGCAGCTTCTACACTTGCCCTTGTGAAAAGCTGCCCTGAGAACATCATGTGACCAAGCCCAGTCTACCGTACTGGAGTATAGGCCTCCTAGACCTGCCAGTGACAAGTCAATGCCAATGGCCACACGGGAGAGTGAGGAACCACTTGAACCACCCAGGCCAATAGAACCTCTGGATGCTGCATTGGCATGAACGTTCCTCTGTAAAACCAGCAGAAGAACTGCTTGGCTGAACCCAGCCCAAATTGCCATCCTAAAGAATCACAGACAAATAAAATGAGGGCTAGGGCCGGCCCGTGGCTCACTCGGTAGAGTGCGGTGCTGATAACACCAAGGCCACGGGTTCGGATCCTATATAGGGATGGCCGGTTTGCTCACTGGCTGAGCGTGGTGCTGACAACACCAAGCCAAGGGTTGAGATCCCCTTACCGGTCATCTTTAAAAAAAAAAAAATAAAATAAAAAATAAAATGAGGGCTATTTTAGGCCATTATGTTTTGGGGTGGTTTGTTATGAGGCAATAGGTAATTGATACATACACTCACTTTACTATTAACATTAACAGGGATTACTTCTGAAAGTATGACTAGGGAGGAGACCAGGAAGGGACAGAAACTTTTACTTTTTTTTTTTTAAAAAGATGACCGGTAAGGGGATCTTAACCCTTGACTTCGTGTTGTTAGCATCACGCTCACCAGTGAGATAACCGGCCATCCCTATATGGGATCCAAACCTGTGGCCTTGGTGTTATCAGCATCACACTCTCCCGAGTGAGCCACAGGCCGGCCCCAGAAACTTTTACTCTTTATGTTATACATTTCAGTTTGGTTTAAATTATTTTATAAGCAAATATTATGTAGGCATTCAAACCAAAACCCAATAAAGGAAAAAAGAAGTAAAGAGTTTCCCAATAAAGGAAAAAAGGAGTAAACAGAAATTTGGAGACAATTTAAATGTTTCTCAGTGAGGAATTGGTTAAATGACTTAGTTTATTCATATGACGGATTATCATACCCATAGACAGACCACTGTTTTTCAAACATTTCAAAACTAAGACATACATTAGAAACACATTTTACATTATAACCTGATACCCACGTGCATATATAAAAATATAAATACATATCACTGAAACCACCTTTCACAAGGCATTTCTTTAACTCCTGAAGGCACTATTTTTTGTGTGTTCTTTTTAAGTTTTTAAATCCTGCTGTTGACCCACTAAAGTGATTTCATGACTAATGAGCCACAATCAGTTTTTAAAATACTGATAATATATGTATTTTATCACAATTTAAAAAAAACCTGAAACAATTCTTTAAGTACCAACATAGAAAATCTCCAAGATATACACTTAAGAGAGAAACAGTGCAAGTTGGAGACCAATGTGCATAACATGGTTCTATTAAAAAAGTTATGTGTATTTGTTTTTTGTTTTTTTTTTGGTATGTGTTATTGTCATTATTGTTCAGAGACACTTACGAATTTGGGGGAAGATTTTTATTTTTCTATAACAGTCACGTATTACACATGCAATTTGGAAAACTCAAAGAAAGAAAGGGGTGTAATGAGAGGCAACCCCAAGATGGACTCAAGCCATCTTGTCCTGCCTTGCCCCCTACCTGTTCCCTCTCTCTTCAGGACTTACCTGAGGGCCTCATCCAGCGGCCACACAGTCCCACGAGGGGCTCTGGGTTGTCAAGAAACCTGAAGGGAGAGAAGCACATGTGAAAGGCCTTTTAGACAAAGGAGAGCAACTTTTAAAAGCTGAACGTCTAATATATACAGTTGATTCTTGTTATTCATGGTAGTTCTGTTCTATAGAGTCACTATGACTGGCAAATTAGCAAATCTGGAATCACTGCTCCTAGGGGAAACATAGCATTAGGTTCCTGTGAGCCTCTGGTCATGATATTTTCATCAACCAACCAATACATAACCTTGTTTTATGTGTGTTTCTGTTGAAAGACGCCTTACTTAATAAATATTGTTGATTCATTAGCATTGAACTTGCAGCTAACAGACCTATAACTCATGCCTGAGCAAAGTTTATCTGACACATAGTATCACAGCCTTCTTGTGCTTAGGCACATTAGACAGCTCTTCAGCACTATGCTAGGTAGCCATTCTAAACAGTGAAATCGCAAACATGGGAAACCAGCATAGGATGTGAAAAATGTAGCATTAAATATGAGTAGATAGTGAAAAGGATGCTTGTTTATAGTATGAGAGAGCTGAAAAAAGGAGGCAGTACATTGCCTGGTTCCACTCTCAGCTGGGAATGTGTGCATCAGTGACTCAAATTTCTCTCTACACTGTGTGTGTCTGCAAAGGACAATAAAAGCCCTACAAGAATTGATTTTGGAGTTACAAAAGTACATTGCCTGGTTCCACTCTCAGCTGGGAATGTGTGCATCAGTGACTCAAATTTCTCTCCACACTGTGTGTGTCTGCAAAGGACAATAAAAGCCCTACAAGAATTGATTTTGGAGTTACAAATACTTTTAGAGAGTAGCCAAATTCACAAATACAGAATCTGTGAAAAATGAGGATTGACATGCATGCATATATACATATATACTAAAACATACGTGTGTGTGTGCACATACACACACCCCTCTTAGACCACTCAAGAACGACAGAAATCCATCCACCACCTTTGCTCCATCCTCAGAATCCCAGCCCCACTGTTTCTTCTCTGGTCTGGCCCATCAGAATGGCTCCCCACCATCCAAGTCACTGGGTGCTGTCCTTGCCCTTGTAGCCCTTCAACCCAGAAGTCCCCAAGCCCCACCCTCCTGCTCCTCAGCTCTCTCTGACTCATACCCCCCTCTGTCCTAGGGCTCTGGGCCCAGCTCAGGCCTCCTGTGCACTCCCTACAGGGCCCCAGAGGGTATTTCTATGCCCAGAGCCAACCCTGCCCCTCCCTGCTCACAGCCCTCCCATGGCTCCCTGGTGTCCTACAGGTAAAGCCCAGGCACATAAGGCTACTCTATGCCCCTGTGGCCTTGTCTCCCCCAGTCCATCCTCCTATCTCATATTCCAACCACACCAAATTACTCCTGGTCCCCAACAAGCCATGTAGCCACTCACATTTCCTGGCCTCTGCTTATACTACTACTGCTGCCTGGGGTGGCCTTTCCCCACCCTTATCCCTGACATCTTGCCAGGTAGCTGTTCTCCCTTGAAGATAGAGCTTGAGGGCTTGGTCTCTCTGAAGCCTTCCCCAGACCCTCTAGGGAGAGGAAATCAATCCCTCCCAGGTCCCCGTGTACCTGTACATAGGTCTGCTGATACCCTATGGACACGGTGAACATACATGTATAGGAAGGGTGCGTCTGACCCTCTCTCCCCGGCAGCCTAAGGATGGATGTGCATAGTGAATGAATAAGCAAGTGAGCAAGTGATGGCACAGAAAAGCTGTGCCACCATCAAGAAGTAAACTGCATGAGCAGTTCTTCTGTCACAGGCTGTCACTGTCTGTGTCCATGGGACCTCTCTGCCAGGCGGCCCTAAGAGCAGGAACCAAACCTGATTTATGTCTTGCTCTGTCCAGCAAGGGGCTTGCACACCAGAAAGCTTTGGGGAATGAAACTGTCTCTTCCATTCATTCATTCATTCATTCCACCATGAACTAGAATGTACAAAAAATGAATACTTGCTGAATAAGTGAAAAAAGTTGTGCACACCAGTAAGATCTAGAGGATGACACATCTGAGTGCTAGGAAATGGGCATACAGCAACATCACCCTCTCATGGTCCTTTTGGTTACTGCCTCGAGTTGCCAACTGGGGGCTGGGCTAGGGGTGGGGCAGAGTATGTAGGACAACTCTCCATGGAGCATTTTTTCTCCCCCCCCCCTTTTTTTAAAAAAAAAGATGACTGGGGGCCGGCCCGGTGGCGCACCGCTACAGTGCGCCGCTCGGGAGCGTGG